TATCTGTCATCTAAGACGTCACTGCCAAGGGCAGCCAGACCCCCGATGGACGGAGGGCAAACAGGGTCAGAGACCAGAGCGGTGGTGTAGTCAAGGCGGCAGGTAGCGGCGAAGTCAGTGTCAGCATCGACAAGAGCCGACAGACTCGAGACAGGAATGGACGGGTCGGCAACAAGAGAGGCAAGGACACGAGGAACAAGGGGACGCGCAGCACGGAGGAAGTCAGAGAATAGGGGCGGGGCCACAGCAAGCGATGACGGAGGAGGAGACAAGATGAGCGGAGGAGCACGAGACGCGTGGGAGGAAAGCAACATAGGGTGAGACTGCTGAACAAGGGAGGTAGGATGAGCACGAGATGGGCAACGAGACTAGACGTGAGATGGAGGAGTCGAGTCAGGAGAGAGGGGAGGAGACACAGGAGGATAACGGGGAGGGAAACGAGCCAGAGAGAAGTCCGGGGGAGGAAACACTGGGCCATAGACCGGCGGGGGAGGAGGCGGCGGTGATAGAGGAGGCACCGGCAGGCAGTCAAAGGAAGGAAGACCGAGGAGGCGAAGAGCGGACACCGGCGGCGACTGCTGCCCGACTCCAACACCAGAACCTCCAGCGACAGCACGGCTCTCTTCGACAAGCTCCACGCAAACACCCCCAAAATGGGAACCCGCTCCAGCACACTCCCCAGCACCCGAAGAACGCACGAACCCCAGCGGCGGTGATGACGGCGGCTACGGCCGTGGCGGCGACGGCAGCGGCGGAGGCAGCTGCGGCGGGGACAGCAGCGGCGGCAACAGGGGAGAAGAGACCAGAGAGGGGAGGGGCCGAGGGAGGGACTCCGCAGAGCTGCGAGAGTCAGCAGACTCCTCGGCAGGGATTCCCGGCGAGAGAGGGGTGACGTGAGACACACCACACGGGGCAGGGAGGGGAAAGGGTGGGGGGGGGAAGAACCGGGGGAGGGGGAACGAGGAACAGGGGGGGGGTGTAACCAGTGGACCACGGTGGGGAATACGGTGGCAAAAGGAGACGGACTCGTCAAAGGTGACGTCACGAGGGTGAAAGAAGCGGTGAGACGGCGGATGGTAAAAGTGCTAGTTAGACGAGTCGAGGGGGAAACCGAGAAAGACACAGGGGACGGTGCAGGCAGTGCGCTTTTTCGTGCCAGAGGCACGAACATGAGCAAGGCAGCCCCAGACGTGGAACGCAAATGTGTCACCAAGGGACCCGGTCCAGAGGAGGGTCGACGAAACCGGCGGCTGCTGAGGGTGCGGCCACAGGTTAAGCTGGTGAGCGGCGTAGCGAACAGCGAACGGCCACAGAAAATGGGGTGCATCGGCATGGATCATGGAGGTACGAGCCACCTCCATGACCAAACCGATGCATCGCTTAGCAACCCCATTCTGCTGTGGGGAGTCCGGCAGGGTGAACGTCTGGGTGATGCTCTCCGCACGACAGAAGCGACCAAGGCAGCCAGAGGCGAACTCGCCACCACGGTCGGAGTGAAGACGCAAGACAGGGGGACCTCGGTGAACACACGCAGAGACAAGCCACGGGATAAGAACGTCAGGCACGTCGGCCTTCCGCTCAGGGGGAAACATCGTGGTGTAGAGCGTGTAGTCATTAGCACTAGGAAGTAGCGCTCTTGACGCGGCCCATAGAGGGGGGCGGGGCCCCAAACGTCCATGTGCAGTGTCTGCAGCGGTGCGGCGGTGGGGGGGAATGAGGAGGAGTGAGGGGCACGGAAGAGCCGGCCCTCGACGCAGGGCATGCACGGTGGCACTGGGGAGGAGGGTAGCGCAGGGAACGACTCGGGGAGACCTAAGACAAGACCGTGCTGAGACATGTGACGTAGACGTGTGAGGGCAGGGTGACCTAGACGGTGGTGCCACAGAAGCGTCAGGTGAGTAAGCGACCGACACGAGCAAGCCGCAACAACTTAGGTAGATGCGGACACCTGGGGAGACATCCCAATCGGGGGGGACGCAGTGTCCAGCGTGAACAGGCGAGACACCGGGTCCCGGGGGAACGTGGTAAGGGGAGCACCTGTGGCGGCCTCGGTACAGACAGCGTAACGTTCATGACCACGGAACGTAGTGGTGACGCCAAGGTCTTGGAGGCAGCCGACACCAACTAGGTTCCTAGAGGACGAGAGGATGTGTAGGCGTGTAAGGGAGCCCGAAGGAAACGCCGGACAGGGAAGAGTGGTGGAGCTACGGGTGACTACAGGACCTGAGGAAGGGTCTGCAAGGGCAACTGCGGCGGGAGCGGCAAGCGGCGTAAGCTTAGTGGAGTCCTGTAAGAAACACCGGAAAGCGCCGGAGTCCAAGGTGAAGGAGAGCGCGGCAGTGGCGGCAGGGGTCGGAGGAGCGAGGGTGGAGCCAAGGCTAAACAAAGTAGGGGATCCTACGCCTGACGCAGCAGGGGAGCCTGACCTAGGCAAACCTACACTAGGCAACAAGGAGTAATAGGAACCATTCACACTAGAGTCATCGACATACAGCACATACATAGCAGAGCTAGTCTCGTCCATGTCCATATCAGATATCCTAACACCGCGGCGGAGCAGACTGTGCCAGTCGGGGAGGTCTGGCGCCGGGCCGAAGCAGAGATGAAACAGGTCGTCTAGGCGACTGAAACAACGAGTGGGGGTATGGCCGATCTTACCGCACACGAGGCTGCGACGAGGACCGGTCTGGAGCTGGTACTGGCAGCGCCTGTCACTCGGACCACCACCTGACATCACGCTGCACGCACGACCACTGCGACCACCTCCACCACCGGCGTCAGGCCACCCAGGTGGGAGACGACCGACCCGCCGCTGCTGCTGGTACTGCTGCTGTGATTGTCGCTACTCCAAGGCACCAGCCCCAGCCCCCTCGTTAGTACTACCAGCGGGTGAACCACCTCCACCAGTACCTCCACCCCCTCCTCGGCTACCTCCGCCGCACCCAGCCTTGGGGCGGCGGCCCTTACCCGGACGAAACTGCGCTGCGGCAACCGCGGCGTCTGTATCCGCGCAGGGGCTGTCTTAGCGACAACAGCAGAACCGTCAGAGTAAGTGCACTGAGCGGGGGCACAGCTCTAAAAGATAGTGACCGGCACAGTACCGCTAGACTGGGCGATAGAGCGCTGACGAGTCTCTATGGCAGACAGGGTGTCGACAAAGTCAGTAAGGGTGAGGTCAGCGGGGTGGAGCTTAAGAAAGTGATCGTGGGCAGTAGCAAGGCGGTCAGGGAGGCGGGTGGCAAGCAGGTAGAGGGTAGAGCAGATGCGGGGCTGGAACATACGAAGCTGGGCCTCAGTGCAGGCAGCGCACCAGGTCGCGTCTAGCGTGCGCAAGTGGGTGGCCAAGTCAGCGACAGTAGGGAAAGACGCGAGGTCAGGAAAGAGCATGGGCAGGATCACGCAACGGACGGAGGCAGAGGGCGGGGTGGAATAGCGCGCAGTTATACACGTGAATTTATAACAGCCTATAGGAAATACTGCGCAGTCACGACCGACCTAAAGCGGGGTTGCTCAGTCGGGGGGAGGGCATAACTAATCGCGAGCTATGCGACAGCGTCACGTGACAAACAGACAGCACGGGCAAGGGCAGTAGCGGCAGCGGACTCATGGTCAGCAGACGAGGGGTCAGCGGGTAGAGCAGCAGGGGGGACAGGGCAGGGGAGCGTACCGTCAATGTGGACGGCCAGGGAGTGGCCGTCCTGCCGCTGACCAATGAGGTCACGGCGGAGGTCGACGAGCCACGTGTCGAACTCAACAGGCTGACCCTCCGCGTCAAAGCGCAGCACCGAGTCCGCCATCATGGTCGCTGTAGCAGCAGAAAGGCGGTAGTGGGCTGTACTGAGCGACAGAGTGCGGCGGGAAGCAGTGGTGTGCGGTGCGATGAGGTGTGGTGCTTTAGACTGCGGTAGAGTGAGGGGCAGTACGGTAGGGTGCGGTGCAGGGCGGTGCAGTGCGGTGAAGGGCGGTGGAGTGTGGCACAGTGCGGTGGAAAGGGCGGATGAAGCGAGATGGGAGCAGCAGGGGCAGCTGAGGGACGGGCCCGTGAGGAGGCTGGGCGGCGAGGCTGCGGGGCGGCTGGTCAACAGGGGTCGCGCGGCGGGCAGGCAGGCCTGCGTGGCGGCTAGGAGACGGGGCCGCGGGCGGCGAGGCGACGGGGCCGGCTAGGCGACAAGGTCGGCTAGGCTATGGGGTCGGCTGAGTGATGGGGCCTGTTAAGCGTGGGGGGGGGGGGGGGGGGGGGCGGTTAGGCGACGGGGCCGACTGGGCGACGGGGCCGGCTAGGCGACGAGACCGGCTAGGCGACGGGACCGGCTAGGCAACAGGTACGGCTGGGCGACGGGGCCGACTAGGCGACAGGACCGGCTAGGTGACGGGGCTAGCTAGGCGACGGGGCCGGCTAGGCGACGGGGCCGGCTCGGCGACGGGGCAGACTAGGCAACGGGTCTAGCTAGGCGCTAGGTGACGGGGGCCATTAGGGGACGAGCCAGCACGGGCGGGAGGGTGACGGGGCGGCTACGACCTATGGCGGAAGCGCTGGTGGGCGTGGGGGACCAAACCTACTCTTGATACCATATCAAAGTTATCTAATGAGCTGAACCATGACATGTAAGGGAATATAACCTAGTGGGTTGTACTCTCTAAGGCACAACCCAGTGTAGTCTATAACAACATACAAAGATATGTTTGACACTCACTTGTTTCTAGTCATTCTAGTATGTTAACAGAGAGTACAGGGAAAAATCTATGAGCATCCCCCCCATTAAAAACTCTTCAGGGTGGTGCATAGGCCAACTCTGATAAATCAGAGAAAACTTATACTTTCAAAATATTACCCAGGATCATCAGAGTGGTTTTCAAAACGACTCTGATTCTAAGAGAATCAGAGTGATTTACTCTGATAAAATAAGCCTTGGTAGCAACGTTCCCTTGTTTGTTTTATGGGGATTTACCGGTATTATTCTTATGTCGAGTTCCGTCCACACATGACAGCTGTAGACACCCTGAGAGCATCGAGAGCGCCAACATCAGCAGATCACTGAAGGCCCAACGCACCTGTCGCTAGCCCCTCGCTGCACTTAGAGAGTTTCAGAAACCGCGCGCGAGTCACGCCGCTCTCTCCGCTCTCCCTCTCCTCTCTCCCCTCCCTCCATGCTGCGCGCGACGCTACCCCCTCGCTGGCTGCACTGCGCACCGATTCTCCGCGCGTCTCGCCACTCCCGTCCCGCTCGCTTCACACGCTGTCCCCTCGGCATTCGTGCTCCGCGCCACCTCGATTGCCCCGCGCTCGTCGGCTGTTCCCCTCGCCGTGGCCTCATGGCGGAGGCCGCAGAGCGTAACGAGCAGCAGCGTGCCGCCGCTGCTGTGTTGCGACAGCACGATAGCACGATGACCAACCCAGGCGATAATGCGGTTACCAGACAAGACGGGACCAGCGGGGAGGAACGTTGCGTGGCGTTTGAAGTTCGTGCGACCGACGGCGACGCACGCGTTGGTCGCATTCTGGCGACGAGGGTGGGCGATGCGGGGAGAGGAGGGGATCAAATGCGGGACACAGAGGGGCAAGGAGGAACACAGAGCGATGCCGAGTGGTTTGAAGTGGCGACGCCCGGCCTGCTGGCGTACACGCGGCGAGGGCTGCCGCTGCATTTGACGCCGGACGTGATGCAGACTCTGGGGTTCGCGGGGTGGAACGCGTGCTCCGTGCACTTGTGAGGCTTTACGCATGCTCCGTGCACTTGTGAGGCTTTAAGCATGCGCCGTGCACTTGTGAGGCTTGTGAGGCTTTAAGCATGCTCCGTGCACTTGTGAGGCTTAAGCATGCTCCGTGCACTTGTGAGGCTTTAAGCATGATCCGTGCACTTGTGAGGCTTTAAGCATGCTCCGTGCACTTGTGAGGCTTTAAGCATGCTCCATGCACTTGTGAGGCTTTAAGCATGATCCGTGCACTTGTGGGGCTTTAAGCATGCTCCGTGCACTTGTGAGCAGGGTAAAAAAAACGCCGTAAAAAAAAAAAAAAACCGTTTTAAACGGTATCGAATTAAACGGCCGTGTAATACGAAAAAAACGGTGAAAATTGTGCAAAAATAGGTTGGTTAAAAAAAACAGCCGATTGTTTTTTTTTTTGAAGTGCAAAACAATCCGACGAAATGCGCGGATCTGGCATTTCGTCCGCCCAAATGCACGGATCTGGCATTTTTCCCACCAAAATGTGCTAGATTTTGCGTTTTTGGTGGACGAAATGAATGGATCTGACGTTTTGTCAGCCGAAAAACGCAGATCTGACATTTCGGCCGTCGAAATGTGCGGATCTTGCATTCGGGCAGACGAATGGTGCGGATCTGGTGGACGATAAGGCTGTCTACCAAAAAAGAAGAAGAAGAAAAAAGATTCTCTATTAAAAAAACGGCGTTTTTCCCAAAAATCCCTGCAAAAACGGCCGAATAATACGGACCGTATTTTTCGGAAACCGTATTTTTGAACCTTGCTTGTGAGGCTTTAAGCATGCTCCGTGAACTTGTGAGGCTTTAAGCATGCTCCGTGCACTTGTGAGGCTTTAAGCATGCTCCGTGCACTTGTGAGGCTTTAAGCATGATCCGTGCACTTGTGAGGCGGAATGATTTCTTATCCCAGTAAAATCTGATTGCATAGGGAGGCCGCTACTTGGTGAGCTGCATGTAACGCCATGTGCGCTGAGGCAGAGCGTCGCAGCAGCTGGGCCAGCCCGTGGTGAACATCCGTGCATGCTACACTGCGCCCATCCCTCTACCCAATTCACCTACCGCGCAATTGTAAGTGCTCCTCTGTCCACGTGCGTGCCTCCAACCCCACACCTCCCGCTTGTCGCCGCTACCATCCGTTTCTTCCTCTCCCCCCTCTCCGTGCCCGTCTCCCTCCCTCCAGTCTCGAGAGCCCCTCCCACCAGACCATTGCCGCCCACACACGCGCCCGCACACCGTCGCCATCCGCCCCTTCCCATCCCCCCCCCTCTACTCGCCTCCCCCCCTCCGGGCTGCACGGCTTCCTCTCCCTCGCCCCCGCCACCCTCCTCCTCTCCTCGCCGCGCGACTCGCTGCTCTTCCCGGGCTGCAAGGAGGGCGGCAAGGCCTCGGCACGACCTGCCACGTGGTTTGACACCCCCAGCGGCCGCAGGCAGGTGGGGCGGCAGTTGAGACATCGGGGATTTGAGGTTAGAAGTATAAGGCTCAGGGTGTAGGCTCCTGTTTGGATGGGAGTGTTTTCCCCCGGCCTGCTGCTAGGCTTGAGCATAAACCCGACCCGACTCGACCCGACCCGACTTTGCCCTACCCGATGTCAGGTTCGGGTCGGGTCGGGTCGGGTCAAGTCGGGTCGATCCTAGGATTTTGCCGACCCGACCCGACCATAACAGGTCGGGTTATCTCTTACCCATGGTCGGGTCGGGTCGATCCAACCCGACCCGACCCGACTTGACTCGACCTTAGTATTATTCCCTGAGGGAAACATATGGATTTCGTGATTTCGAGATCCAGTATGTCCTCCTCGTGTCTAGCCCACGCACCCACCTCATCCTCCCATCCACGACCTCGAGATGTGGGTTGGATGTTGGTGAAAACCAGTCACAGGATGGGTGTCGGATTAGTTGGGAGTGTTGGCGAAAAAATGGTTGGCGATTTTTTTTGCTGGTTTGGGGGTGTTGACGAGATTTTGGGTGGGTTGCGGGTATTGGCGAAAATTGGGTGGATTGGGGGTGCTGGAGAAAATTCGGATGGGTTGGAGGTGTTTGCAAAAATTCGGATGGTTGGGGGTGTTGGCGAAATTCGGATGGATTGGGGGTGTTGGCGACATTCGGATGGGTTGGGGGTGTTGGCGAAATTCGGATGGGTTGGGGGTGTTGGCGAAATTCGGATGGATTGGGGGTGTTGCCAAAATTCGGATAGGTTGGGGGTGTTGGCGAAATTTAGATGGATTGGGGGAGTTGGCGAAATTCGGATGGGTTGGGGGTAGGCTTGAGCAACGAGTCGGGTCGGGTCGGGTCGGGTAACCCGGCCCGAACCCGACTTTTTGACGGGTCGGGTCAGGTTTCCCGTCGGCAGAACCCGACCCGTCAGGTTTGATTTTTACCCCTCGGGTCGGGTCAACCCGAACCCGACATGTACGGGTTCGGGTGAACCCGACATGTCGGGTTGACCCGACCCGACTTCGGGTATACATCGTTGTTTTGACCTGACCCGACCCGACCCGAACTCGGGTCGCCCCTTGAACCGACGCGATCTGCGCGACCAGAGTTGCGCAGATCTGGAAAGTCTGATCATTTGGTCGAATTTTTGTCCAAATGGGTCATTTCCCAGATCCTACTCAGGCTACCTCCCATTTCTACCTTGCATCCAGCTCATTCCTACCACTAATCTACTCCCCACCATGCTTATTAGTACAGCTTAGGGTCTAGGCGGATCCAGATCGATTTCAATTGGATCTACTCAACCAACACACATATTCAACAAACAAGCTCGACACCCCCCCCAACCCATCCGAATTTCGCGAACACCCCCAACCCATCCGAATTTCGCCAACACCCCCAACCCATCCGAATTTCGCCAACAACCCCAACCCATCCGAATTTCGCCAACACCCCCAACCCATCCGAATTTCGCCAACACCCCTAAACCATCGGAATTTCGCCAACACCCCCAACCCATCCGAATTTCGCCAACACCCTCAACCCATCCGAATTTTTGCAAACACCTCCAACCCATCCGAATTTTCGCCAGCACCCCCAAGCCACCCAATTTTCGCCAACATCCGCAACCCACCCAAAATTTCGTCAACACCCCCAAACCAGCAAAAAATTCGCCAACCATTTTTTCGCCAACACTCCCAACTAATCCAACACCCATCCTGTGACTGGTTTTCGCCAACATCCAACCCACATCTTGAGGTTGTGGTTGGGAGGATGAGGTGGGTGCGTGGGCTAGACACGAGGAGGACATACTGGATCTCGAAATCACGAAATCCATATGTTTCCCTCAGGAAAAAATACTTAGGTTGGGTCAAGTCGGGTCGGGTCGGGTTGGATCGACCCGACCCGACCATGGGTAAGAGATAACCCGACCTGTTATGGTCGGGTCGGGTCGGCGAAATCCTAGGATCGACCCGACTTGAACCGACCCGACCCGACCCGAACCCGACATCGGGTAGGGCAAAGTCGGGTCGCGTCGGATTGGGTCGGGTTTATGCTCAAGCCTAGTTGGGGGTGTCGAGCTTTGTTTGTTGAATAGGTGTGTTGGTTGATTCGATCCAATCGAAATCGATCTGGATCTGCCTAGACCCAAAGCTGTACTAATAAGCATGGTGGGCAGTAGATTAATGGTAGGAATGAGCTGGATGCAGGGTAGAAATGGGAGGTAGGCTAAGTAAATGACCCATTTGATCGTAAATTCGACCAAATAATCAGACTTTCGAGATCTGCACAACTCTGGTCGCACAGATCGCGTTGGGTCAAGGTGCGACCCGAGTTCGTGTTGGGTCGGGTCGGGTCGGGTATACCCGAAGTCGGGTCGGGTCAACGATGTATACCCGAAGTCGGGTCGGGTCCACCCGAACCCGTACATGTCGGGTTCGGGTTGACCCGACCCGACGGGTAAAAATCAAACCCGACGGGTCGGGTTCTGCCTACGGGAAACCTGACCCGACCCGTCAAAAAGTTGGGTTCGGGTCGGGTTACCCGACCCGACCCGACCCATTGCTCAAGCCTACCTGCTGCTGGAGTTGGCATGGCATGCTGCATATCAAGGGTTTAAAAAAGCAGCGTTTTTTTCATTTTCAGGCCGTTTGCTACGGTACCGTATTTTTCGGCCGTTTTATTCAGTATAAAACGGTTGAAGATATCTGATTTTTTTTGGTAAAAAAAATCAGCCGATATTTTAAAAAAGAGAGTAAAAAATACTGGCGAAATGCGCCGATCTGGCATTTCGCCAGCTGGTATGCGCGGATCTGGCATTTTTCCTGCCAAAATGTGTTGGATCCCGCGTTTTGGTGGATGGAATGCACAGATCTGACATTTCGCCCACTGAAAAGCGCGGATCTGGCATCTCCCCGCCAAAATGCGCGTGTCTCGCGTTTCGATGGACGGAATGCGCGGATCTGGGCAGACGTTTCAGCTTTCTACGAAATGTTCTTTTTTCTTTTTTAATTCGCAGTGTCCTATAAAAAAATTGGCGTGTCTTCCCCAAAATCACCGAAAAAAACGATCGAAAAATCGATCGAATAAAACGGCCTGCCAAAAATTTCCACCTTGTGCATACCCAACGGCTGCACGCCCGTCTAACACCCCATGGTATGGCGTCTGCGTCCGTGTGTCCAATGGTGCAGGTCAGCTTTCTTCGGTTATGGATTTCCGTTTGAGAGTTTAGGGTGCATGCATTGAGAGCATCCACGCGTTGCACAGGTCGCTGTGTGATGTGAGAAGTGGGAGTCAACTCTATGGCGCGCACTTACGCCCCCGATTGCATCACCACCACATCCCCACGCAGGTCACTGCAGAGGGCCACAGTGCCATCGTGGCATCGCTGCTGCCACATGTTGCCATCCCGTTGCACGATGCGCCACCCGCCACGTCATCGCTGAATCGCCAGCGAGTGGCTGTGGAGCGATCGCTGACGTGGCTGGATGAAGAGCTGCGATTGGCTGAAGGCAGAGCTCAACATAGAACCGTACGTCTGAGTATCTTCTAAGGCTTCCAGATTCAGGCCACCATGGGTGCACGTGTCTCTGGAGCAGGTGGCACTGGAGCAGGTGGCACTGGAGCAGGTGGCACTGGGGCAGGTGGCACTGGAGCAGGTGGGTCGCACCCACCAACACTGCACACTCCTCCGTGACACACCCTGCTGTCGCACGCTTGTGTCACGAGCTCAATGTTACAGATTCTAAGGTCACGAGCTGTCAGCACACCCCTGTGTCCCATGGGTGTGTGGCGTGCCCAACCCAACACTGCCTGCGGTCTGCGCTGTGTGGCGTGCAGGCCATGCTGGGGGCAGTGGTGGGAGGGCGCTTTCACGACGAGAGGAGGCGGTCAGCCAGAGAAACTGCAGCGAGGAAAGGGCTGGCAGGTGGGGGAGGGGGCTGGCAGGTGGGGGAGGGGGCTTGCAGGGGTGGCGGGGTGGGGTGGGCAGTAGGAAAGGGCCGTGCGGCCACGCCCTGCTGTGCGGCCACGCCCTGCTGTGCTTGCACAATCCTGTACCACCTCCACCTCTCAACCCTGCCCACCCCGCCCTCCCCCCTCAAACACCCTTCCCCACCCCAACCTCTTAAACGGGTCCGTATATTAATGGGCAAGCAAAGTAGAGCAATGCAGGCATAGCAGGCCGGGAAAGTAGCCACTGTTCCCCTCCTCTCATGCTCTCACCTCAGCTTCCAACTCCCACGCTCGCCCCCCCCCTCGCAACCCCCCCCCCTCGCAACCCCCCCCCCCTCGCAACCTGGCCCCCCGTATTTGACAGCCCCTCATCTCTAGCTTCAGCCATCCGTCACTCAGTCCTCCCTCCTCCCTGCCCCACTGTGTGCCATGCGTGCAGGGTACCACCTGGCGGGGTTCGGCTTGGGGGAGCCCATGGACGAGAGGGATGCGCTGCTGGCCGCTGCTCTTGTGGGTGCCTCTCTGCTCTCCCTCCCCCCCTCCCACCTTCCCTCCCTCCCTCCCTTCCTCGCTCCCTCCCCACCTCCCTCTCTTTGTCCGACCGTGCCTTTTCCCACCTCCCTCTCCTTCCCTCTTCTCCTCCCTCGCCTCCATCCCTAATACGTGCCGACTTCCTTTCACCTCCCACTCCCCTCCTCCTTCGTGTGTGTCAACATTCCCCCCTCCATTCCCCCGTTCTCCTCTCACGCCCCCGCTCCCTCATCCCCTCAACCCTTCACCACTCAACCCCTGGACCCCTCACCCCCGGAATCCTCACCCCTGCCCCCCCTCGCCTTGTCCCCACGCAGTCAGAGCTTCCTCCCGAGGGACTGAGGCACACGTCAGGTCTCAACACGCCAGGTGAAGCAACAGGCCCTGTGCATCCTAGATTCGAGGTAGGTTATTCGCTCCAGAGCGAATGAACGAATCCAGCCAAGGCAACACTGCAGGTGGAGTCAACCAGCAGAGTGCCGTACATGAGTCAGCATCGCACCCTGGGAGTGGGTGGTACCCGGCGCATGCATCACGTCAAGCCAAGAGGTCTCAGCAAGCCTTACAAAGCTTGGCAGCCTCACCAGTTGAATAGCAAGGTTTCTTAATCTGCCCTCACGTCTGCTTGCCCACTGGCAAGTGTTACAGTGCATTTATATGGCTATTGCACTGACCGCTCTCCCTGCGCCGCATTTCCCCTTTGACGAACATCAGCATTTCCCCTTCGACATACATCATCGTTTGCCCGTCGACATACATCATCGTTGCCCGTCGACATACATCATCGTTTGCCCGTCGACATACATCATCGTTTGCCCGTCGACATACATCATCGTTTGCCCGTCGACATACATCATCGTTTGCCCGTCGACATACATCATCGTTTGCCCGTTGACATACATCATTGTTTGCCCGTCGACATACATCATCGTTTGCCCTTCGACATACATCATCGTTTGCCCGTCGACATACATCATCGTTTGCCCGTCGACATACATCATCGTTGCCCGTCGACATACATCATCGTTTGCCCGTCGACATACATCATCGTTTGCCCTTCGACATACATCATCGTTTGCCCTTCGACATACATCATCGTTTGCCTGTCGACATACATCATCGTTTGCCCGTCGACATACATCATCATTTGTTCGTCGACATACATCATCATTTTGCCCGTCGAGGTGCAAAAAAAGGGCATCCGTATTAAACGGTCCGTTTTAAACGGCCGTTTTTTTCGGTGGGTTTTGGTAAAAAACGACGTTTTTTTGTTAGACCCTTTTTCATGAAAAAAATTGATGTATAAAAAGCACGCGTAAACAAGTGGCCTGATTGCTAAGGCGGCCTGCATCGTTCTATGGAGTAATTAGCGGCTTTGAAACAAGCATGTGATGTGATGTCCATGCCCCTAGTCCGTCGCCTTCTATGCCTCATTCTGCTCCTACTCCACCTTCCCCCCCGTCCTCCTCCTATGCATCATCCATCTAGTCCCCCCCCCCTAAGCGTTATTAGCTCGGCCAAAAACAATGTACACCGTATTATACGGTGGTACGAAAAAACGGTCGTATAAAACGGCCGTTTTTTTGCACCAAACGAAAAATGCAACTTTTGACCGTTTTAATTGTATTATACGACCGTTTTATATGATCCCGTTTTAAACGGCCAAAAAGGTAGAAAACGCCGTTTTTTTGCACCTTGCCGTCGACATACATCATCGTTTGCCCGTCGACATACATCATCATTTTGCCCCTTTCTCTTCCTCCTGGTTCTGTGAGCAGAGGAGGTGCTGCAGGGAGTGGCCATGGGCGTTGACCTCGTTGACTGCACGTGGGTCTTCTCACCTTTTCATAGAGCGTCTTCTAGCTTTCTCACCCTGCACCCTTGTACCTTTTCTATCCTCACCCGCCTGTTGTTCCGCTCCTTGGTCTCCGTACGACTCTGCCTCTCGCCGTGTTTGCATCTGCCGCTCGCTGTGCTTGCATCTGCCGCTCGCCGTGCTTGCATCTGCCGCTCGCGGCACTGGAGCCACCCATCAAGCCGCGTCTACAGTGCTCTCCGTCCCCGCTGCCTCCCTCCCTGCCTCGAAGCCACACACCCCCACCACCTCCCGAGCTCGCCCCTTTCTCCCCCACAGTTGCATCGCCCCTGCTTGCATGCGCTCCCATGACCTGAATTCCTCGGGTCTCGTAGACTTTCCCAAATCGTGCACTTACTCTGCCCCCTCCTAGCTCTTGACAGCTGTCCCCAGCCTCTCAAAGGTCCCTCCAACCTTTCACAGCTGGCCTGGCCACAGCTCTCACAGCTCAATCCAGCTATGCACCTCGGTGCCATGCCACGCCAATCTTGCTCTCCGACAACTCCCTCCCCCCCCCAGCTACCCCCACGACCTCACTCTGCTGGGCCTCGCCTCCACCCTGCCGCTGCTGCCGCCCTGGTGGGGGGACGTGGTGGGGACGGGGGAAGGGGGCCAGGGCGCTAAAGGCCAGGCAGCAGCGATTGGGGGGAAGATGGATGGTTGGGTGGAGGAGGAGACGAGCAAGTTGAACCTCAGATGCACTTGGCACAAGTGAGACACCCACACGCTTGCATGGATGTGCGTGCGCCTGTAGTAGCTGCATGCTGTGCACTGCACGTGTGCTCTGCTGTTGAGTTTCCATCTCACTGCTCACCTTGTCCTCCTCCCCCCCTCCCCGTTCCTCCCTTTCCCCCCTCTCTCTTGCTCCTTCTCACATTCTTTCACCATCTATCTTTCCCTTACCCCCAACACGTCCCTCCCTCCTGCCCCTCCCCTCCCACCCTCCTCATCTTTCTCCTCCTCCCCCAACCAGCCACATGTTTATCTCCATCTCCCCACCCGCACCTACCCTGCTCATCAGTTTTATCCACACACCCCCTCCCCAATCGCACTTTGATCCAAATCACCCCCGGCTGCTCCTGCAACACTTGCGCCGCCCGCTCTCTCGGTCCGTGCCTCCCCATCCCCATCCTTCCTCTGTCCGCCAGGCGCAGCTTCGTCCCCATCGCCCCTGCGTGCGCGTGCTACACGTGTGCGCGCCACACGCGCGCATACGTGCACCACCTGCTGGACGCGCACGAGATGCTGGCGCTCGTGCTCCTCGACATGTGAGTCGCTGCGCTGCTCCCACCCATGCCACTTGCCATGCCTAACTCTCCCCACGCACGGATGCACCTGCAGTACCTGCTGGACGCACATGGGATGCTGCCTCATGAGCTCTTGGCCATGGGATGGGAGTGTGAGGTGTGAGTTGTGTTTTGGTGTTGCGGGCATGCCGTGGAATGATGACTTGTGGGCATGCCATGCAATGATGACTCGTGGGCATGCCATGCAATGATGACTCGTGGGCATGCCATGCAATGATGACTTGTGGCTGCTTTGCCAAAACATGCTGCGTATGTTAATGCCTTCAGAGGTATCCTATTGCCGTCATGAGTGCGTTAGTGCCGGAACGAGTGTGTTAGTGCCGGAACGAGTGCGTTATCTTATGTAGCAACTACTTTGGTGCATTTCTTGTGACTGCCCTCTTCCGTGATTGCTGTCTCAAACCCCATGCTCCTCCCTCCAGCCACAACCACCACCACATGCTTCAGTTCTTGGCGGTCATCCGGCAAGCCATCAGCCTGGGCGTGTTTCAGAGGTACAGGCAATGGTTCGTCCGAGCCAGGCACCACGAAGCTCAGTCCCTTGTCACCGCGGTGTAACTCTTGAGTCCCTGTGAGCCGTACTCCAGGCATGTTGCATCATGTTTGGAGGCAGCTTATAAGCCTAGTCATCCTATGGCAAAGGCAGGGCCAGCATGCAGCCGCGTGCCTCATGTATGCTTTGCATTGCAAAGAACCCTAGTAGCAACAGATGGATGGCCTCTACAGCATTGCACTTGCAGTCATCACAGGACCAGTGCAATGTACCACACTTAGCCTAGTGAACAATTATATGATCTAAACCCCAGCCAAGGGTCCAACATGGCCATATTCCCATAGAATCCTAACAACTCTCAAGTGGCGCGTCGAATTTATTTCTGGTGTGGCTGCACTGCGCTCTAGACTTGAGGTGCAGCGATTGGAGTGGAGCCTGCGCACATCACATGGCCGCACAGAATGGGCAGGTCAATGAGTGCGCTCAGTTGTGTGTTGGTGTCAGTACAACAAGCACAGACATGTGCGGTGCCAGACCATGCTTATGTGCGGTGCCAGACCATGCTCATGTGCGGTGCCAGACCATGCTCATGCCACATGGCTTGGTGATGGCGCAATGTGAGGGAGCGCCCTAACCAAGGCATGAAGCCAACGCAGGGAACAGGTAAAGACGCAGGAGGCAGGTGGAGCAGGTGGAGCAGGTGGAGCAGGTGGAGGCAGGTGGAGGCAGGTGGAGGCAGGTGGAGGCAGGTGGAGGCAGGTGGAGGCAGGTGGAGGCAGGTGGCAAGCAGGCAACGCAGGGGGGTGCAAAACACATTAGTGGATCATTCACAGCAATGCAAAGTGAGTTGTATGGAAGTAGGGCCACTGACAATGCGCGGGCGGGGTGCATCAGAGGAAGTAGGGCACGGCGGCGCGCGGCGCCATCATGGTGTTGTTCTCCTCCGTCTCCGTGAAGAACTTCACATCGCGCTCCTGCGTGCACCGCTCCGGGGGGAGGGGGGTCAGGGGAAGATGGGACGGAAAGGAGCAAGGGAGGAAGGTTACGTACGGGGAGAAGGGGAAGGGAAGAATAACGGAAAGGGAGCTTGGAAGGAAACACGAAGGGGGAAATGGAAGGGTGGTGGGAAGGGAAGGGGAATGGGGGAGGAAAGGAAGAAGGGTAAAGGGGGAGCAAAAAGGGAAGAGGAAGGAGAAGAGAGAAAGGTGGATGTGAAGGGGAACTAGGAGAAGGAGAAGAGTAAGGAGATGAGAAGGGATACACAAGAAAACGCGAGAGCAAGCCCAAGCCGGGTAGTTGGGACGCTTCCTTGTGGGAAGCAAAGGTGGTGTGGCACAGGCGGCACGGACCATGTGCTCATCGAAGCTGAGGATGGACGCCACGTTGCCACAGCGGTAGCAGTAGTTGGGCGCCGACCACACCTGGCACACGCATGCACCACGCACACACAATCGTATGGCCGGGTTTCGATAAGCAATGCACGTACCAGTGCAGTACGTGAAGCGATAGGGGCAAATGCATGCACGCTGATGCACGACGCGGACACCCTCAGGCAGAGTCGCGGTGAGGGAGAGCGTGGCAGAGAGCAGATGGCATGGCTGAGCAGGAGGAGGAGGAGAGGAGGAATGCAGCGGCGCAACTCAACCTGCTTGCGCAGCCCCACCAGCATGCGTACGACGCATAACAAGTGATGCGAGACGAAGGCCACATGGGGGTTGGAGGGAGTCACCGTGACGAGGCTCCTGTCGGGGAACATGTACTTGAGCCCCTCCTGCACCAGCTGGTGCGCGCGGCACACCAGCTCCAACCCGTTGATCTGGTTGAACTGGCACACGCCACACGCCACATGCGCGCACGGGGGGACAGCAACGGAGAAACTGGAGCAACAGGAAGAGCCGAGGCAGCCGGTGTGATTGAGGCGTGGCGTGGCATGGGGGGACAGACGAGGCAAGGTGGAGGGCTCAGGCCAGACATCAGTGTAATGCAACCGTGACCTACCAGGCATGACCTACCTCAGTAGTTACCCTCCCTCCAAAAAGCCATCCTGCTCCTCTGGGGCTGACAGCCCACGTCTCAATGTCCTCGGGATCACTCCACATGAGGTCTGGGGGGAAGTGGAGGAGAGGGCGGCCATACATGCGAATACATGATACCAGCAACTGCGGCTCACACCCCCACCTCTGGAGGCGACAATGCACTCGAGTTGCATGGCAAAGGGAATGAAAGCTGAGACCTGCAGGAAGGAAGTTTGAGTGTAGGTTGCAGTGTATATCGGAGCGGTGTGACATCACATACAAACGTGTGAAGCAGGTCGGGGGGGGGGGAGGGCAAGGGAGGGTGGGTGGTTACCACAAAAGGGGCCCTCGTGTGGAATTTCGCACTGGCGTTCCACCACTCGGATCTGCGCAAGCAGGCGCAGCACATAGCCGACAAGCATGGATGCATCAGATTGTATCAAAACCACCACTGGAACGGCGATCGCAGCAGAACTTGCGAAATTGGAGGTGCGGCAGAAAAAACTGAAGATACCACGTGAGTGGTGTTGGTGCGGCAGAAAGCACAGACGCTTGCATGTTAGGAGGCTGGAAGAGGTGCTGCAGGGAGCAGGAAACGAGAAGACTTTGGGACAGGGAGGGAGAGAGAGAGGAGAGGTGCGCGTGAGAGGAGGGCAGGGAGGTGGGAGAGGAGAGGCCACACCTGATCCAGTGTTCGGACGTCAGGTGAGAGCCCTCCGTGCACACACAGCACCTGCAGCGTGGGAAGGGGTAATGGGGGAGAGACACACAGGAAGTGTGAGAGAGCAGATGATACCGCAGCAAGCACAACGGGAGTGCGATGTCTTGACAACGGGAGAATCGAGTGCAGCGGTGCAAAGCGCTGAGGGAGAGGCGGGGCGTGCGAGCGGAACCTGGGACCCAGCACTTGGGAATGAAGTCTTCAGCCCGCCCCGCCTAAAGCAATGAAGAAACGAACAAGCGTGCCAGCCAGCACCCACCCGGCCATCGATGATGGCGGAGATGCCCAGGAAGTCAAACCCACCCGGCCATCGATGATGGCGGAGATGCCCAGGAAGTCAAAGACGTCGGTGCAGTAGCGCCACGCGTTGGCGTTGCCGTACTTGCGCTGGCACTCATCGTAGAACCCGTACACCTGGTGCGCACGTGGGGGCGGTGGAATGCGTGGGGTGGGGCATGAGGGGTGGTGGAAAGAAAGAGTTTGGTACTGCTGCACTCGTACATGCGCACTTGCGCTGGCACTCGTAGAACCTGTGCACCTGACTGACGTGAGGCACACCCGGTGGATGTGGGGGGCAGAGCCTAATGGTACGTGGCAATGTTTGTGTGTGATGTGGGTGGGAAGTGGGTGTTGGCGAGCACACTCTCACCTAAGCCTGTAAGTACAATATTCGGTATTCGCACACTATTCGACATTCGGCAAATGCCCAAATACAAAACGAGTTCGAATTGGCTGTTTATTCAAAGGTATTCGCGGCGTCAAACATTCGTCTCGGACAAATATTCGTTTGGGTTATTCGCAAAGAACTCGTTTCGAAATGGCATCATATCTCGCCCTGTTGTTTAGCGGGGGGCAAGGGAAATGCCCGATATTGAAGAAATCAGTCGTCAGATTTCAGGGTGGTGCTAAATTAGCCATAGGTTAACGACACAAAGGTTCATAACCCGAGTATTCAAGACACATTTGTATTCATCTCATCTTCAGCTTGTCAGTATCCAACTCGAATTCGTATTCGATTGGGAAGAAACCATTCGGCCAAATACAAATTCAGCTTCCATTCGCAAATACTCGAAGAAAAATATTCGAACTCGAATTCGTATTCGTTTTTACAGGCTTACTCTCACCCAACCCAAGCATGCTGGGCTGCTTCGCTAAACCGTGGCACACACGCACACACTGTGCTGCCTGGCGAGCTGGTGCGCGGGCAGCTGCTCTCCACTGCCGTTCAGACGCATCCAAGTGACGAGGTGTGTGGCGGGATGCAGATGCAGACTGGATCAAGGAGTAGTGCCTGGCGCAGCAGGGACCACCTTGCGCGCATGATGCTCACCTGTGTGATTTGCCGGCTCTCGTGGTTGCCTCGTAGCAGCGTCATGTGCGCCGGGTACCTGGTGCAGCATGGACGGGAGGGCAGGCACGGGAAACGTGAGGGAGGGCAGGCACGGGACACGTGAGGGAGGGCGGGCACGGGACACGTGAGGGAGGGCGGGCATGGGACATGTGCGTGCAAGGGAGGAGCATGCACGCATGGGAGTGCAGCAGCATGACGACAGCCACATGTGCATGGAAGAGACGCACGGCCGAGGGGAGGACCATGTGAGGACAGATGGCAACAATGCACCATTGCAAGCTAGCACGATGAGCACACATCATCACACAACACTCGCAGCACCGTTGGCACGATGGCACCCATGCTTGCTGCCTCTCTTCTCTGCATGAACCTCACCTTCCCCTCATCTCACCTTCCCCTCATCTCACCTTCCCCTCATCTCACCTTCCCCTCATCTCACCTTCCCCTCATCTCACCTTCCCCTCATCTCACCTTCCCCTCATCTCACCTTCCCCTCATCTCACCTTCCCCTCACCTCACCTTCCCCTTATCTCACCTTCCCCTCATCCCACCTGGCCTTGAGCAGCATGAGGATGGTGAACACCTCCAGGCTGTTGTACCCGCGGTCCACGAAGTCTCCCTGCCACGCATGGTTGGGGAGGGAGCAGCCGAGACGCCATGGACAACTCAAATGGCGGGTAGCAGGGCGGACGTCGGACCACGGGGAAGGACCAAATGGCTGAACACAGCAAAACGGGGCAATGACGAAGAAACCAGGATGCCATCAATCGAAAACACTTGACATGAAAATAAGATCGCACTGTATTCCCCAGGAGTACAGCGACTGGCCTACTGCACGCACCATGGAGCTGTGGTTGGTGGGGGTACGCACCATGCAGATGTGGTTGGCGGGGGCACGCACCATGCAGATGTGGCTGGTGGGGGCACGCACCATGCAGATGTGGTTGGCAGGGGCACGCACCATGAAGATGTAGTTGGTGGAGGGCACCTGGCCGCCCGTGTCGAAGAGCTTCATGAGGTCGTGGAACTGCCCGTGGATGTCGCCGCACACCGTCACGGGGCTGTTCACCGGCTGCACGTTCGACTCCTCCACCAGAATCTCCTTCACCTGCGTGCCATGGGGCCATGGGGCCGTGGGGCCATGGGGCCATGGGGCCATGGGGCCATGGGGCCATGGGGCCATGGGGCCATGGGGCCATGGGGCCATGGGGCCATGGGGCCATGGGGCCATGGGGCCATGGGTCACGGGCAGTTCAAGAGCGGGGGTGAGGAGGAAAGGGGGCACAAGGCGTGCGCGCTTCACTCGTCCCTTGGAATTCTTATTCGCCTGTCGAGTGACTGTGGGCTGGGGAGCGGGACATGGCACCGACGGGAAGAGGAGCTGCGGCGGAGAGGGGGAGGTGCGGATGGTAAGGGATGAAAACTCGCAGGGAGAGAGCGCGCGCGGATGCGCGTTGGGGGGACAGAGAGAACGGGAAGAGGCGGGAGCGGAAGGAGTGAACGCGATGGAGGGTGAGAGGGAGGGGCGGGGAGAGAAAGGAGGAGGGAAGATGGCGGGGAAGGCGGAGACAACGGGAAGGGCGGAGAAAAGGGGAAGGGCGGAGAAAGGGTGGAGGGCGGAGAAAAGGGGAAGGCGGAGAAAAGGGGAAGGCGGAGAAAAGGGGAAGGGCGGAGAAAAGGGGAAGGCGGAGAAAAGGGGAAGGCGGAGAAAAGGGGAAGGCGGAGAAAAGGGGAAGGGCGGAGAAGGGACCGGAAGGGGGCGTGGGGAAGAGGGGGGAGGGAGGGAAGGAGGGAGGGTGAGGAATAGGACTGACGAGATGGAAACGCGGACTACAAACCCGAGTCCTAAAGTACCTCCAGAACTGTGTACGCGTTTGAGACCTGCCGTCGGACGGCGACCTTGCTACTTAGAAGCCCCAAAAGCCTCACTCTATAAAACGACCATAGCCTTAGCTGAAAATTACGTGACGTATGTGACGCTCTTCCACAGGAGTGCAACCGCAACGACATAATCATTTCGCAAGCACAGCGAGGGAGAGGGGATAGAAAGAGTGACGAGGACGGGAAGGGTAGGAAAAGAGAGAGCGGGAACGACGACCCTCGGCGCGGGAAATAAGGGAAGAAGAGGCAGCACATGTTAAGAACGGTGCAATGCCCTAGACGAAGCAGCGCCTCTCCGGCGACAAGCGGATGGCAGCGAGGGCGGGCGCGCGCTCACGTATTCGCAGAGCTGCTTGAGCTCGTCCTCCATGAGGTACTCGCAGCGCTTCACCTTGTCGATCCACGCGTCCAGATCCAGCCCCATCGCGGAACCACGCTGCGCGATCCACTCGAGACGAGGAATGTGGCGCTTAGCGCTCTATACTAAGGACGGCTGTTGGCTCGTCAAGAAGCGTGCGGGGAACTCCTTGAAACGACGACTACCCGAAATACTTGTCAAATGAGGAATAAAGCCACACGTCGTGCGCTCAGAAAACGACTACAATCCTGAACCGCGTCAGTGGTCGTCCCTCAGCAGTACCAAAGCGAGCAACAAATAAGGCAGGTTTAGGGCGTTTACCGCGCGTACGTTTGATTGCGGTTGGGTGGGATTCTTTGCGAGTCAGAAATCAAATACAGCGATATGAGACGGTTGAGTAGGGTTTTGAGCGAGAGACGTCCGTGCGGGACACGCTCTTAGCTTGTGAGGGAGGAACAACTGGTTGGAGCAGATGGGGAAAATGCTTCGCCGGGCAGGCTTGGGAACTTTGAGGAACGCGAGCCAATGGCGTTGCGTGGAGGCGGGCGGGAAGGAGGACTGCGACAGTCTCAAGGGTCTGTCGCGCGTGTGCGACGAGGCAACGCTGACGGGTTCGCCAACAGCTCCTTTCAGCACTTATACAGTGCACCGTTATCCACTTGGCCTTAATCCGCTAAGGCAGAGCGGAGTTCACTCAACTTCGGAAAATTGTAATGAAGCACAAACAGCATGTGTTAACGAGCAAACAATACAATTGAGGCAACATAAAAATAGCAGGGAACATGGTGTTAAATTATATATATGTTATATAATTGTAGGCTTGGTAGGCGTTACTGAAGCCTACTGTAGAGGGTACAATCCCCCTCCTTGTATCCCTCTCCTATTCTCGACCCCTTATCTCTCGTCTAAAACCTATCGCCATTTCTATGGCTTCCTTCCTACCTAGATCCTAGCTTACTTTAACATGGTATCAGAGCAGGTTGCCCTTCCCGAGCCCGCTCCCCACGCTTCCACCGCGCACTCCTCTTCCTCTCGCGCTACCATGGCGGCCGCGTCATGCTGCTGTGGTGGCGTCGTTGTGCCGCTGGCCGCGTCGTGTCGCGGCCGTCCCGACGCACTGCTGTGGCGTCGCGCTGTCGTGGCGTCGACGTCCAGCCGTGACGGCGTCGTCGACGTCCAGCCATGGTGGCGTGACGGCGCCGTCGTGCTGCCGTCGCAGCATCGATGTCCCGCCGTGGCATCGACGCCGCACTGTGGCGGCGTTGTAATGCTGCGGTGGCGGTGTCGTCGGGCGCAACGCCTGTGGCGCCACTAGACCTGCCGCCCGCTCGCCTACCACAGGCGTGATTCTGGACCACGAAAAATGGAAGATATCATGCGGCTAATGGTGAATGGTCCACATTAGCGGGGGCGGAGTTTTGGGGCGATGGGCGGTCGAAGGTTCTGGGTGTCGAGCAGTACTAAGTCTCTAGCCTGGTATGTTACTGCTCGTCGGTGTAGATCGGCGTTGTGCTTAGAAATAACATTCGCGTGCTTAATGGCGTTGGCTGTTCGCTCCCGGCACTCTGTAATATTTCCGCGAACTGTTGGGCTCGTGGTACTGGATTTTTTATGTTGGGCGTGATCAGTACTGTAGGGTTCTGCCCGTAGTTAAGGTAAAATTGTGACTGCCGTGTAGTGGCTGACGAGGCGTTATTATACGCGAACTCAATCAGTGGCAGTTGATGCTCCCAGTCGGTCACGTCATCGCAGGTGGCGCGAATCAAACTCCATTGTCTGATTGGCTCGTTCGGTCTGTCCGTCAGTCTCGGGATGGTAGGCGGAGGAGAATTACAGGCGCGCACCAAACTATTCCCAGAGGTTGCGCCAAAAGTTATTGGTGAATTTCGCGTCACGATCCGAAATGACGGCGGATGGAATTCCGTGGAGGCGAATGACGGTTGAGATGAAGAGGCGGGCTGTTTCTTCGGCTGAGATGCTTTTCTTGCAGGTGACAAAATGGGCCATCTTTGTCAGCTTATTGGCGACGACAAATATCGCGCCGTTACAGCCATCCTTGCCAGGCAACACTGTGACGAAATCCATCGTCACCAGCTGCCATGCGCGCTCAGGCGATGGAATTGGTCGCAAATGTCCATACTGCTCCAATGGCGATGTCGCTGGAGTCCGTGATTACTTCGAATGGACGGCGAGGATCGTCGATGCGAAGGATAGGGATTGAGCACATAAAAGTTTTGAGTGCAAAAAAGGCAGCTTGCTCTTTCTCCCCCCACCTGTACTCAGTCCCTTTCCGCAGCATGTCAGTTAATGGTGCAGTTACCCCTGCCATATTCGGGATAAATCTCCGAACATAATTGACGAACCCCTAAAAAACTTTGCAACTCCTACAGGTTCTTAGGCGGTAGCCAGGCTTGCACCGTCTCGATCTTGCGCGGGTCCACTACTACAACCTTAGTGGAAATAACATGTCCCAGAAACTCTATGCGATCTTTAAAAAGCTCGCACTTAGACCCCTTTGTGAGCAGCCAATGCTCCTGCAGAAGCGTGAAAACGACTTCGAGTTCCTTTAAGTGCTGCTCTCGGGTTTTGCTGTGGATCAGGATGTCATCTAGGAAAACTATATCCACGAGTGAACTGAAGATCTAGTTTTGTTGGTGCAACCCTATGGCTTGCACTCGGCTTGTCGTCCTTGTTTGTGTGTGTGCATGCATGGCATGGAATGAATTGTGGGTCTATATCATTGCTATCCAGTCCTTGTGTGTGTGTTTGAATGGTGTGTCACTATGTGGTTTGTGTCGGTCAAGACATTAGCGAGTTTTTACAACTCGCAAGTCAAGTCGTCGTTTGTATGTCGCATGCGTTTTTCTATTTTTGTCGAGTGTGAAGTGTCCATCGTGTCGCAGGTGTGTACAGCAAGCCCCCATCAACTCAAGAAGAATTTATCTTGCAGATCCAAGACCAAGAGCTCAAGATTTCAAGCCCAAGGGACGCGGATGAATATTGAATAGTGAAAATAGTAACGCTACTTCGTGTAGTGTTACATTTCACTTGGTGTAGCCCCTTGGAGGGTTGGTTTCAAGACTCTTCGTGGTTGGGGAATCTGTGGTGGTGTACCACCAACCTGGACCTCGGCTCTTGGGGTATGTAGAGGCTGGGAACCATCTCCCTCTCGAATTCTTCTTCCTAAGTTTTTTGTACTCCTAAGACTATAGTGGCTGCTGTACCTCCTGCCAGTCAAACCGCCATAGCGTCGTCAAATCTTCATGGAATTTCATGATTCAACTTGCTGCTGATAGGCGACAGCATCGCGCTCTAGATCCAATTTATAGATAACCGTTTGAGGAAGCGACCAGATCGTTATCAATATTTGAAGCCGTCTGACGGAAATCCGACTGTGCTCTCTATCTCTCATTTTAGGCACATCTGAGCCTATTGTGCTTATAACAAGTTCATGTTCATCTGAAAAGTTGCCGGGGCGTTCGCCAGACCGAAGGGCATGCCTACATACTCGAAACTCATGTATATAGTACGAAATGCAGTCTTGTGACAGTCAGCTGCGACTACTCGAATTTGATGGTAACCCCCTTGTAAATCTATTTTGGAGAAAAAATGAGCTTTGTGAAGTTGGTTGATCAGTTCGTCTGCAAGCGGTATACGGTAGCGGGACTTGATTGTGACCCTGTTCAGTGCCCTGTAGTAAGTGCACATTCGGTACTTGCCGTCTTTCTTCGGGATGAACAGTATGGGGGCGGCACATGGCGAGGAGCTCGGGTGGATAAAGTTTTTCTCCATTCAGTAATCTAACTGCTTCCGTAATTCCTCTAACTCTGGTTGTGTTAATCCAAACTGCCGCTGCACTGTAGGCTGTGTCCCCGCTTCTAATTCGATTCGATGTTCGAAGGGCCGTTCCGGTGGCAATCCCTCGGGCAGGTCATCTGGAAATATATGCGGAAAATTGCGAATCGGTTGCGTTAAATCGGTCGGCACTGCTGCTGTCAGCTTCTCTAAATTGGACGGCTGCGATGCCACATCGATGGCGCAAACGACTACAGCGAAGACTTCCGCTCCCTGTGTAACCGCTCGTTTGATAGCCACGGAGTTCACCTGCATCACTCCCCCTATGATCCCCTTTGTCCATTCTGGTAACGTTACACTGCGGCCGTTGATCTTGACGGAGCAACTGCCTGTCGTCCAGTCAATTTTTGGGATGAATCGTCGCAGCCAATCCATCCCAACAACGTCGTGTTGGTGCAACCCTATGGCTTGCACTCGGCTTGTCGTCCTTGTTCGTGTGTGTGCATGCATGGCATGGAATGACTTGTGACTCTATGTCATTTCTATCTAGTGCTTGTGTGTGTGCTTGAATGGTGTATCACAATGTGGTTTGTGTCGGTCAAGACATTAGCAAGTTTTTACAACTCGCATGTCAAGTCGTCGTTTATGCGTCGCATGCGTATTTTCTATTTTGTCGAGTGTGAAGTGTCCATTGCGTCGCATGTGAGTGCACCAAGCCCTCATCAACTCAAGAAGACTTTATGCCGCAGAACCAAGACCAAGAGCTCAAGATTTCAAGCCCAAGGGACGTGGATAAATATTAAAATAGTGAAAATAGAACTGCTACTTTGTGTAGTGTTACATTTCACTTGGTGTAGCCCCTTTTTGGGTTTCTTTCGAGTCCCTTCTATTAGAAATAGACTGCAAATACCACTTTTGTATTTGTACTTTTATATCCTAGTTTAGGTTATGAATGTTCTAGTGGGTTGGGGTGTACTCACAAATCCCAACCTCACCCAATTGTGATCCCCCCAATCTCCAATTACCCAATTGGAGATTCAGGAGATCCCAATGAGGATTCCCTCCAATTCCCCCTTCATCCATTCACTCTCACCTTGCCATGTACTTATAGAGCCTTGGGCTCCTTACCTAATCAATCATTTCAACTCTATTTCTTATATGGTATCAGAGCGACCTATCCGCACACGCGGATCAAGGTCCTAATCTTAACTTGCCCGCGCTATGCGCACTTCATCGTCGCGACATTCGTTTCGAGTCGTCGGAATTTCGACGTGCTCCACTCTGCAGTCGCGCCTCTCATCGTCGACCGCCTTCGCGCTTGACCTCGTTGAATTTCTCATCTCTGAAGCGTTCACGCTTCTCATCGTCGATTTCCTCCTCGGTTCTCCTTGGTCGAATCTCAATTTCGACCATCTCTTAAAACTCGTTCTCGATTTTCCCCTCAGACCCCGCCAGAATAGGCGAACTCCCCTCGCGAAATCGCCTCCACGAACGTCTCGCGTCAAGCAAGAGCAGGTACACAGGTTGAAGCGGAGCGGAGCTGGTTGCGGAGATGGTTTCGGAGCTGGTTGCGGAGCTGGTTGCGGAGCTGGTTGCGGAGCTGGTTGCGGAGCTGGTTGCGGAGCTGGTTGCGGAGCTGGTTGCGGAGCTGGTTGCGGAGCTGTGTAGCTGCGGGACAGGGCCTGGGGGTGTGTGGGGGGGTGTGTGGGTCCGGGGTTAGACTCAAGCTCAGATTCAGTTTCAAGTCGGCGTATTAACGAATTTTCGCCGACGCCATTTCCTACTTAGCGGCATTTTGATGAAGCCGTCAGAGTGATTTTCAGCAATTCTCGTCGACCAATTTCTAGACGTGCCGCGCTGCACACCGACAATGGCTTACTCAACCACTTCACTCGCCGACCTGATCCCGCTCCTTCGTCTCGAGCCGGACGGTACATGCTCCAACTACAAGGCTTGGCGCTATGGTGTCGACAAGCACCTCCTTAGTCGCGAGGTGAAGGGGCTCGAGCTCACCGACGTCCTTCTCAACATCGGTGACGGCAAAGAGCCTCCTAAACCCGAGAGGTCCGCCGATCCAGTTTATGCCGTTGCCGAAGCAGTTTATGCTGCTGCACTGCTCAAGTACAAGAATTGGGAGAAGGCCGATGGTGCGGTCATTAGTGTCTTCATGGGCACCACTCCTCCTGAACTCGTCGAAACCTACCACAACTACCCGTCTGCCAACGCCATTTGGCTCTACCTCGAAGATTTCTTCCTGAACAAGACTGCAGTGGGAGTTGCTATACTCATCCCCAGCATGTTCCAAGTGCGGCTCGAGGACTCGCCAGGCATGGCGGACTATGTCACCAAGGTGCAGTCCATTCATGGTGAACTCAAACAGTTGGGGATAGTCTTCCCCGAGCAAGCCCCTGCAGCCGCTCTCCTAGTCGGCCTCACTCTGGCATACGAAGTCACACGCAAGATGCTCTTGGGCCTTGCTCCTGCAGACCTCACATTTGCCAAGGTCTCATCTGCGCTCCTTTCTGCCGAAAAGGACAACAGCGCTCAAGCCAAGGCCAATGCAATCCGCGCTCCCGTGCCTCAAGTCTATGCGGCTTCGGCACCATTCCAGCGCAACCGCTTCCCCCCGTGTCCCTACGTCATCAAGCGCGGCCCTCGTGCTGGCCAGGTGTGTGGCGGCACCAACCACGCCCTTGCCTCCTGCTTTAAGAAGAAGGATGACGAGTGGTATGCCGTCAATGGGACCGCCTCCAGCCGCCAAGCTGGATGGTCAATCGTGCTCCTCGCCAAGTCAATCAAGTCGAAGCGCAGGAATCCGTGCAGGCTGCTGTGGCTGCACCTGCTGATGTGCGCCTCAACATGTTGTTCCGTGGCACTGCCATGATTAATGAGACGATTTCGCAGTATCCTGGCTCACAAAGCACCTCAGCCACAATAGAGTTCACCCTTGACAGTGGGGCCACTCACATGGTTCTCAAGGAAGAACACTCCTTCAAGCCATACGAGACACCAATCCGTCTACTAGGAGCAGACTCCAGTTTCACAACACACGCCAAGGGCTCCTCCACAGTTCCGTGCCCAGCTTTTCCTTCAGGCAGTGTGACTGGCATGTGTGTTCCCACACTACGCCACAATCTCGTGGCCCAACACGAGCTCCAACGGGCAGGCGTCACCACGATCTTCCCAGCACACTCGGATCACTGTGACCTCTTCGACCCTAAGTCCAACAAGCTCCTAGCACGCTTCACACTCAACAGTAACAAGCTCTACACGCTGCGTTCACCTGCACCTCTCGCCGCCCTCTCCCAAGCGCAATCTGCCAGCACCACTCCGTGTTCGTGTCGCAGCTTCGCCAACCCAACCATCCTCTACCACCATCGCTTGGGTCACCCCAACTTCTGTACACTTGCCGACATCGCTTCCAAGAAACTTCTTCTTGGCCTCCCGTCGGCGCTTCCTCCACCAACAGACTCGCCTGCACCCACCTGCCTGGACTGCACCAAGAGCAAGCTCAGGCAGCAGCCGCACCCTTCCTCCCCATCCGTCGCAGTTGCTCCGCTGGACCTAGTGCACATGGATGTCTGGGGCCCAGCTCCAGTTGCATCCCGAGGCGGTCATCGGTACTTTCTTACACTAGTCGATGACCACTTGCGGTATGTTTCTGTGCACCTCCTGCATACCAAGGCGGAGGCACCTAATGTCATCATGGTGTGGGTGCGCCAGGCTCAAGTCACGTTCGGCACTCCTCTGAAGTGCCTCCATTAAGATGGCAGGGGAGAATTTCGCAATGGCAAACTCGATAACTTCTGTGCGGCCCAAGGGATTCGGCAAACCTTTACGCTCCCCGAAAGCCCACAGCAGAACGGCATTGCAGAGAGCCGCAACCACACCTTGGTTCAGATCGCTCGCTGCCTCCTCAGTCACGCCAATGCACCACGGTCACTCTGGGGATATGCTTTCTTCCATGCGGCACTCCTCAACAATCTTTATCCGCATCCCCATCGGCCCGACACCACACCTACCGCTCTCTGGCTTGGGGTCACGCCTTCCGCCCGCTCTCTACGCGTCTGGGGGTGTACCGCGTATGTGTTGCTAAGCCCCCACATGCGCAGGAAGCAAGGTGGCAAGCTTGGTCCCAAAACCCAGACCTGCATGTACCTGGGGCACATCTCCGACTCCCCAGACTACTTATTTCTCAACCCAATCACCAGACAGCTGATTCGCAGCCGTGATGTCGTCTTCGATGAGACACGCCCATTCCACTCTGCGACCACGGGCGAGCCTCCTCCATCTCCCCTGACGCTTGTTTGGGCAGACTTCGATGCCCCACCTCCGGCCGCTGCCCCTTCTCCGAGGCCTTCTCCGTCCGGCGTGTCTCACCCGGCCTCCCCAGTATCCTCCGCAGCGGCACCTCCTCCTGCTCCGCCTTCCCCGCGCGTCGAGCCCGGCTCACCAGTCTCCTATCGGAGGCGCCCAGTCCCTCCGGTCCCACCGCAGCCGCCTTCGTCTCCGATCTCTAGTCGCACTCGTTCCAAGGGACCGGCTCCGCCTCTCGCCTGGGGACCAGCCGCCTTCTCCATCCGGTGTTCGGTCAACCCGCCTCCTCCTACCGGGGGTGATGTCCCCTCCATCCGTATTCCCCCCCGTGCACTTCTGGAGGACAGGCATGAGAAGCTGTTTGACCTTCACGCGGTCTGCCAATTTCTCTCTCACACCTTCCCGGACATTACTGACTGCCCTTCCCTCAACTTCACCGAGAACCCGACCATTCCGACTCCTCGCACAAAAGAGGAAGCTCTCTCGGGGCCTTATAAGAAGGAGTGGAAGGCAGCAATGGATGTGGAGAACGAGGCGTTCATTCGCAACAACAGCTTTGACGATGTTGTTCCCCCTTCCGGTGTCAACATCGTCGGCGTAAAATGGATCTTCCGAGTCAAACAACTCCCAGGCGAAGCTCCACTGTTCAAGGCACGATACGTGGCAAAGGGTTTCACCCAGAAGGAGTATCTCGACTTCTTCGAAACCTTCTCGCCCATGGCCAAGCTCCCGACTGTGCGCGCTCTTCTTGATATAGCCGCTCGCGGCAACTTCGAGATCAAGTCCATGGACGCCTCCTCCGCCTTTCTCCAAGGCCAGCTCAAGGAGGATGTTCACATGGAAGGCCCACCGGGGTTTCCTGGCACTTACCCTGCCAACACAGTGTGGAAGCTGAAGCGCCCAGTGTATGGCCTCAAGCAGGCTCCTCGTGAGTGGCACAACAAGGTGAAGGAAGTCCTCCTCGCACTTGACTTCCATCCCTCTGCCTCAGATTCCAGTCTCTTCGTTCGTCACTCCTCCGAGCCCTTCTACATCCTCGTCTACGTCGATGACTTCATTCTAGCCGCCAGAGATCCAGCCGACATGGCAGCTGTCCAGTCTGCTCTCAGCTCCGCCCTTCTCATGAAGGATCTTGGTGACCTCAAAAACTACCTGGGGATGGAGATCACTCGTGACCGCCAGGCTTGCACGATCACGCTCTCCCAGGAGTCCTACATCGACAACCTTCTCAAGCGGTTCGACATGGACTCCAGTAACTCTGTCTCCACTCCACTCCCACTACAGCATCAGCTCACGGCCCCTCCAGTTCCTTCTCCTGACGCCTACAAGGACCCCTACCCTGAGGTAGTCGGTTCACTCATGTATGCCATGATGTGCACTCGACCAGACTTGGCTTACCCGGTTAGTTTCCTCTCTCGGTACGTCTCCCCCGGATGCTACACTGCCTCGCATTGGACTGTAGCCAAGAGGGTCCTCCGCTATCTACAAGCCACCAAGTCTCACATCCTCACTCTTGGTGGTACCTCTCCAGTCAAGCTCGAGGGATACACAGACTCCTCATGGGCCGATGACCAGACTGACAGACGCTCCTCCCAAGGGTACTGCTTCACCCTTGGTAGCGGAGTCATCAGCTGGCGCTCCACTCGGTCCTCTGCAGTCTCCCTGTCGTCCTGTGAGGCCGAGCTCTACGCGGGCACAATGGCTGCTCAAGAGGCACGCTGGCTCTCCTTTCTCCTCGCTGAGTTAGGCTACCCCCAGCAGTCGCCCACCCTGTGGTGTGACAACCAGAGCGCCATTCACCTCACCAAGGATCCTGTGTTCCACTCTCGCACCAAGCACATCGAACTTCGTCATTTCTTCATCCGAGATCTTGTTCAGAGTGACCAGCTGACGGTACGGTACATCGCCTCAGATTGCAACCTTGCCGACCTTTTTACCAAGGCTCTCGGCAAGGCTGACCACCATCGCCTTCTCCGTTCCATGGGGCTATGTGCTCCTTGACCGGGTTTGCAGTCTATGGGGGTGTGTTAGAAATAGACTGCAAAGACCACTTTTGTATTTGTACTTTTATATCCTAGTTTAGGTTATGAATATTCTAGTGGGTTGGGGTGTACTCACAAATCCCAACCTCACCCAATTGTGATCCCCCCAATCTCCAATTACCCAATTGGAGATTCAGGAGATCCCAATGGGGATTCCCTCCAATTCCCCCTTCATCCATTCACTCTCACCTTGACATGTACTTATAGAGCCTTGGGCTCCTTACCCAATCAATCATTTCAACTCTATTTCTTACACCTTCGTGTTTGGGGACTCTGTGGTGGTGTACCACCAACCTGGACCTCGGCTCTTGGGGTTTGTAGAGGCTGGGAACCATCCCAATCTCGTTTCTTATTTCTAAGTTTGTACTTCTAAGACTATAGTGGCTGCTATACCTCCTGCCAGTCAAACTGTCATAGCGTCGTCAAATCTTTATGGAATTTCATGATTCAACTTGCTGCTGATAGGCGACAATAGGGTGCTCCAGATCCAACTTACAAATCACCATTTGAGTCAGATATCAGATCGTTATCAATGTTTGAAGCCGTCTGATGGAAATCAGACTGTGATCTCTATCTCTCATTCTAGGCACATCTGAGCCAATTGTGATTATAATACGTCGAAGCCGTCAAGTGTAGTTGCCAGCATCCCCATTGAAAAGTTGAAGTCAGCTCGACATCGTACCCTAACTAGTGGTGTCACACCGACTAGTCGGCGTCGATCTCCGCTAGATACCTATCTTAGGGTAACTTATTTTTTTTGCCGTGGGAAGGTTGATTAGACTGTGACTAGCTC